TCTGCTACAATTAGGAGAACAAAATAGAAGCAGTAAGACAGGAGTCAAAGAGACTAGTTAGAAGGTTTCTGTAGTAATCAAGAAGAATATGATCATTGTAACTAGGAGAGTGGCAGGGAGATGGAAAGAAGGGAATGAATTTGAGAAACCTCTGGGAGGCAGAAGCAACAATCTTTGGCAATTAACTGGTTGTGGCTAGAGAAAGATTCTCAGATTTCTGACAGAACAACCAGTCATCATTTGAGGGAATGCTGGGGGACAAGGTGCAGGGAGAATAACCCCTGAGCTGTGGGCATGTAGGTGGAGGTACAGGCTTGGCATTGAGGTAGCAAATGGAGATATCTTTTCTACAGGTGGAGAAAAAAATGAAAAGATATCAGCATACAGAAGACAGACGAGATCATTCTGATATCAAAGGACGAGATCACTCTAGTAAGTGTCAGAGTCTAGAAAATATAATTAGAATACAGATCAAAGAAACACCAACAAGTAAGAAAAAAGGAAAGAAATATCTGCCAAAGTGATTTAGGAAAAGCCAGAGAAACAGAAGACACAACAAAATTAAACATAAATACTATTTCATAAAGGATGAAGTAGTCAACTTCTCTGAATGATGCCAAGGAGGCAAGCCTGACCAGCAGCAAGCATGTCACCAGGCCACCCTTTCAGCTACCTTCCATAACCCACCAGACAGTCACCACCTCAGTGCTTGCCAGAGGTATGGTTCCATCAATGTGTCTTCACTCCAGGTAACAGCAGCCTCTCTCTTCAATGGTCTTGACCATTTGACTGCACTCAGTAGTCCCTGCTGAAGACATGCTCCAACAAGGATACTGTAATCTGGGCAAGTATCTTTCCATCTCCAGACTTTCTAAAACCTGAAGTGCTCCAGATCCACATGTGTGCACCACAGGCAGAAGGGTATAGTACACACATCCACCCAGAAAGGCAAGGAAAAAACTGAAGTCGAATGCCAACCCAGCATTTACACCAACCTCCAGCAGAAGAAAACTTCCCATTCCAAAGCTGAGGTTGAACCTAGTTGAGGACCCTCTCACCAAACCCAGAGAAGCCCCTGGTTCTTCCTCCATGACAGTGCAGCACCAGATTACACTGACCCTCCCCAGAAAGGCCTCTTCCCAAACTGCACCAAGCCCAGGGCCTCCCTCCGGCTCACTCTTTCCCATCAGTCTTTTCTTTTTCCTAACCTGCTCTTCTTCTCAGACCCACAATCCACCCAGACTAGCTTCTCCACCACCTTATGTTACTCAATTCCTGAATCTGAATCTTTAAGCTACATGATAAAATCTATGTACCTCAAGGGGGTGCCTGTGAAGGACACACTCTCACTCTACACCAGCCCTACCCTCCCTGCCACCATGCCAAATACAAACCCCTTGAAAGTCATTCCCTAGCTGAGTAAGCAGAGAAACAAGACTAAATGCCATGGGGAGCTTTAAGAAACACCAGATGTGAAGGAAAGGTAGACCATGTGCAAAAGGCAAGCCGACCAAGGGCGAAACCCATGATATGTCATTTCTTAAAAAACTTTAGAGGAAAAATTAAAATTGTACCCATTAAATAAAAGCCTACCTTAGCAGGATCTGTGACTATAGCATCAAAGCCCGAGTAAATCTGGAGTATCAACTCATCCAGCTTTGAGCAAAGATGGACACAAAATGATTTTGTCAGGATGGGAACAGATTTCTTTTCTCCAGTGGGATTTCGGCTGCCACTTCAGTTTCCATTTCTCAGTGACTCACTAATCAGGTCCTTTCTAACAAAGTGATATGAAGGTATATTGCGAGAGTGTAGTGGGGAGCGGGAGGGACAACAATGAGAAGGGTCTGTGGCTCCCAGAAACTAGAGTGTGAAATGAAAACATTTGATGAATTCCTTAGACTTAGTTAAATCTGAAAATGGATGTCAAAATAAGAAGTAAGCTACATACTAACAAGTTGTGAGTGTCAATTTAACACCATCCTTGTCAGGCTCATAAGCAGCCTTTACCAGGCACATAAAAAGGTGCTGGTTCTGATGAGAGCTTCCAGGAACACTGATAAGCTGTGCACTGTCACGCAGAACTACTTAGGTTTCCTCTCCAGCTGTTTTTATTTTGTTACACATTTAATTAAGAGCCTTCCCAGCAGTTACCCAGTGTCCTGCTTCTAAGAGGCAGCTACGGAGCTCTTCTCCCCCAAGCCCTGCCACCAGCCACCTGCTTCCACCCTGCATACTCTTTTCCAGAAATTCAGAAATTCACTGGCCTTCCCCGTCCAAACCCAAAGTAGCCACCAAAGTCTGCCCTACCCATCTCTTTTGGAAACTACAGGTCATAGAATTCAATTATGTCTACATTATGTTTTTACCTTTCCAAGTCCCAGGAGTTTTTTGTTTGTATTGTTTTGTTTTGTTTGTTTCATTTATAAATGAGACAATACTGCCTCTACCAGAAAGGGTAGTAAAGAGGTCTGAATGAGATAAGGTATGTGCTCATTAAAATTTGGTTTCCTTTCAGATATGCTTGGATTCCCAACCTAATCCCTATCTTCCTTTTTTTTTTTTTTTTTTTTTTTGAGACATCAAGTCTTACTCTGTCACCCTTGGTAGAGTGCTGTAGCGTCACAGCTCACAGAAACCTCAAAGTCTTGGACTTAAGTGACTCTCTTACCTCAGCCTCCCAAGTAGCTGGGACTACAGGTGCCCACCATAATGCCCAGCTATTTTTTTGTTGTTGCAGTTGTCATTGTTGATTTTAGCTGGCCCAGGCCAGACCCGCCTGCCGCGGTGTATGTGGCTCGCACTCTACCCACTGAGCTATGTGCGTTGCCACCTAATCCCTCTTATTTTCTTTTTTTGGTCAAGACAGAGTCTCACTCTATTGCCCTCGGTAGAGTGCCATGGCACCACAGCTCACAGCAACCTCCAGTTCTTGGGCTCTATTCTCTTGTCTCAGTCTCCTGAGTAGCTGGGAATACAGGCGCCCGCCACAACACCTGGCTATTTTTTTTGTTGTAGTTTGGCCGGGGCTAGGTTCAAACCCACCACCCTCGGTATATGGGGCTGGCGCCCTATGCACTGAGCCACAGGCGCCACCCCCTAATCCTGCTTCTTGATGACATTTCTTGTGAAGATGCCAAGCAGTCTCCTAAGTCCCCCACATGGGTGCAGGGCCCCAGTATACTGCAGTGTAGTGCGGAGCCCAAAGTGTGGACAAATGCTGTGGGCCAGAATAGGCCAGACCCAAAGAAGACAACACCCTGTGAAATTCCCTCTCCAACTCATGAGATCAGCCCCAAGCTTGGAAGGCAGAACCAGGTAGTCTTCAACAACAAGCAAATAAAAATTTTTCACATACATATATAGGTCATACCACACAAAGTTACAACAGAAGAATCTGAAATTAAAGTGTCTGGACAATGAACAACCTAGTAGTGAAAAAAAAACGGAAGAGCAGAAGTCTTGGCAAAGCTATTCAGAGCAGCTAGACCTGTGGACTGGGCTAATGGGCCTTCCTCCTGGGCCACATGAATGCCAGAATTCTGGGTCAGCCTAAAACCAACCCCACACTGAAAAGCTTCTCTTGGGCTGCAGTGCTCCACATTAGGCCCCTTCCCAGCTTGAAGGACTCAAAGCTTTCCAGGACACCACAAACAACAATAGCAGCCTTTCTCCTCCTCACCTTCTCCATGGACCCTCCCTGATTCACATGTGCTACTAGTCCCAGCCTGCATACTTCCCCTGACAAATAGGTGGTATCTGGGAGTACAGATAACCTCTGGAGTAAACCCAGAGGTATGTAGTCAGTTTGTGTACACAACTTAAACGGTATAGGAGATGAGGTTCATATGTGTTTCTGTGATCTGGCCTTGTGTTTCCTCCTGTCTCACCTAGAGAGTTGAGGTCCAATGGCACACTTGACACCCACCTGGATGCATAATTTCACCTCAACATCCAGTGTCCGAAAGGCACAAAAAGGGCCTTGGTGAGAGGTGATCCCTGATGTGGAAGGAAATGTCACTCCAGAGCCCCACTCCTCACAACACTCCACCTTATGCTCAAAAGTTCAAACACATACACACACACACAACACAAGATGCTTGCAGCTGCCCTCAGTCACAAAGAACACAGAGGTATCGATTCTGTCGATCCTCAGCAAACAATGCCCCCCCACCTCCACCCTACTTTAGTTCCCTGGGGGCTATATGAAGCCAGGTATCTGTGAAGGCAGACAAAATACAGAAGTGTCAACCCAGCAAAGGAACCAGTTCTGTCTTCCAAAACTGGGGCAGGGTCAGGAGACAAAGGAGAAAAACTAATGGGGACAAAGGAAGAAGGAGGCGGCTAGTGATATCGGCTTCCAGCAGTAGGCTTCTCTCATCCTACCAGTGGGCTCTCAGTTGCTTCACCAGGGTCTCACAAGTCAGATAAAGGGGTAGCATAGTATAATAGTTAAGAGCCTGGATCCTGGGGCCAGATTGCCTAGGTCTGAATCCTAGCTATGTGTGTTCTTAGGCAAGTTACTTAACCTCTCTGTGCCTTAATTTACTCAGCTAAAAAGTAGGTATAATAATATCTACTTTATAGGGTTGATAAATAAGTTACTATTTCTCATTACACGGAGAAATATACTAGGCATTGGTTAAAAAAATTTTTTTCAAGACCCTCTTTTAACTCTTTCCTTTCAGGGCAATAACATAGAGCCCAACAATTGGAAGGGCTATCATGATGCAGGGAAATTTGGCAAAGGAAGAAAGGCACCAACAACAGTGATCCAGGTGGAGTCCTGACCTGTACACATCCTGCTCCAGAGAGGCAGAGGCAGGGCTTCCAACTCTCTTCTAGCCCTAGTAGCCTCATCCTTAAGAGCCCTGGTAACCTCAACCTGGGAAGTCCTGACCTAGCTGCCCTGCAGGCTTGGACATTTAAATTTCCAAAAGGTAAGACCTGGTCCCACAGATTCGAAGTTCTGCCAGCAAAGCAGTCCTTCTCATACTCACATGACTTTTAAGTCCCAGTCTCCACAGGTGACAAAAATTGACTTGACGTTTGGATCTAAGAGGCCTTCCTTCGCCATCCACTCATCGACCCTCTGAAAAGTACACAAGAACAGATGAGATTTTCCTTTTTTTTCTTTCTCTGAGCCTGTAAAGAGCCACAACAGTAAAACGCAGATAAGCTGCTTGTAATCAGAGCAGGAGAAAATTGTAATCTTACCCAGTCATGGCTCTGCTCTGGGTGCTGAGCTGTGGCTTGGAACTTCGGAGGCACTTGGAGGATGATCCCTCATGAAGATACCACAAACCCAAGGGTAAGGCGGGGAGGGAACCCTCCTGCCCGCCACTGTCTGACAACCTGCCCCAGATCCCAGCAAGTCAGTGCAAATACTTTGCTCTGACCTCCCTGTTACTCATTTGTTCTCAGACAAAGGCCTAGCCTAGCACCAACACAGGCTATCCTGGGCCATGACAACAAGCTAAGAAGAGGCCCCAAGTAGGGACTCAAACCCACAGCTTCATTCATTCATTTGTTCATTTTACCCTCCACCAAATGTTTATTAACCAAATTTATGAACTGGATTACTTGGCAAATTAAAGCAAAGAAAATTTTCACCTTCAGAAGAGGCCCCCTTCTCAGGGCTGGAGCCCCATCCTGACACCTGGGATAGTGCTGCCTGCTCTAGTTGCTAAAAGCTCATAAACTGTCTCCCCTACCCCCCATCAAGCTTTGTATTTCTCCTCTTGCTGGTTGAGGATTCAAATTCAGCATAATATTTTGAAGGCTCAGATCAATTCCTACACAGGCAAAGAAACTGCTCTTAAATACACTTTTAAGTTTTTCCTTCTCTTCATCCCTTCAATTGGTTTTATTATTTGTACTCACACTGAAAGTACAAATACTAAAAACAGTATACAGCAAGAGAATTATAAAGAATTCATGAAGCATTTCCTATTTTTCAGAAAATCCCAGGGCATGGAGAGGGAGTGCAACAGATCACACTTCTGCTTCTACTCATCTGAGAGGATTATTTGTTTTAAGACTATCTCACATAGTAGCTAAAAATGCAGGACTGAAATTCAGACACATCTGGGTTCTAACCCTTGGGTCTCCCCATATCCTGGCTGTGTCATTGATCAGAAGTCATTTAAAAGTCATTTAACCCCCTAAACCTCAGTTTCCCTCGTCTATAAGATGGCATAGGATGATTAATTTCAAGAGTTGTTTTGAGGATTAAATGTGATTAAGTGCCTACCACAAAATAGTAGTTGGCTGAGAAGGGGAGAAAGGCAGATCATCACAATGCAACACAATAGATGCAGCAATGGAGAAGTGAACAGAGTGCTGTAGGGCCAAGAGGAGGAAGTGGCTAGCTCTACTTTCACAGGGAAAGGAATCAGAAAGCCTTCACAAAGAAGATAATTGACCTAGGGACTTGATGGTTGGGTGTGCTTGACAAGGTAGAGGCAAAGGCACGATAATTTTATATTTGAGAAGCAATTATCTGTTTAATGTCTGCCTTCCCTCCTAGACTCCAGAAGGCAGGCACTCTGTCTTATTCAATGTCTTAATACTCACCCAGCACAGTATCTACTCAAGAAGTATTTGTTGACTGAATGGAAACCAGAATAGGTATAAGTTTAGTGTGATCAAAGTTCATAGCATATAGAAAGGAGGGGCTGAGGGATTAGGTTAGGCCAGACTGTGAAGGGCCTGATTTGCTTAGCAGGTAATAGACAAGCCATTACTTCTAGCAGGTGTAGGCAGTCTCTCTGGACACCTCAGAGATGCTGAAGGCCTGGCCCTAGCTAACGTAGTGTTTAGTGAGGCCAAAGAGCCTATTGAGTCCCATAGCTAAGCAGTCATATCACTCAGAATGTCAGAGCTGCTCCTTACTGCCAGACTATGCAGATCATATCCTGGCTGTGTCTCCCCAGAAGCTAAACTTTGGACCTTCTACTGCTGAATGGTCTGTCCCTTCAGTCACTTTGGCCCAACTCCTCACGCGCACATGCAGACACACACATATACACACACTCCCCCGGATCCTTTACCCAGGATTACCTAGAGAAAATAAGGCAAACTTTACAAAAGAAAAGAGGTAAGGTTGGCTAGGCATGGTGGCTCATGCCTATAATCCCAACATTTTGGGAGGCCAAGGCAAGAGGATCACTTGAAGCCAAGAGCTCAAGATCAGCCTAGGCAACTTACTAAGACCCTGTCTCTATAAAAAAAATAAAAAATAAAAATATATTAGCTAGGTGCACCACACCTGTAATACCTGCTACTCAGGAGGCTTAGGATTACTTGAGCCCAGGAGTTTGAGACTATAGACCAGGGGTCCTCAAACTTTTTAAACAGGGGGCCAGTTCACTGTCCCACAGACCGTTGGAGGGCCAGACTGCGGGCCCTGGGATGAGTCAGCTGCTAAGCAGGACAGGCAGCAGCAGCAAAAACACCTGGCGGGCTGGATAAATGTCCTAGGTGGGCCGTGTGTGGCCTGCAGGCCATATTTTGAGGACACCTGCTATAGACTATAGTGAGCTGTGATCACACCACTGCATTCAAGCCTGAGTGACAGAGTGGGACCCTATCTCTAAAAAACACAAAAATTTTCTAAAGATATAAAGCAAAATTGGAGCTCCCTCAATTAGCATAACCTCTTACTCCAATTCACTAACTTTACATGCCCAAAGTAAGTAACCCATGTACTAGAAGGGCACCCTAATGCCCCAATTCCTACACAGTGGAAGAGAGCAGGACAGAACAGAACTTTCAGGAGGCTACACCCAAAGAAGACTAGGCCTTTGCCATGGGAAAAATTTAACACTCACTGGGGTCCCTTAGGACCCAAGACATCCCTCACATAGCAAATATTTGGTCGGCACTTTTTACTATAAGCCTATCTAGGGAAATGATACTACATTTGGAATCAGGCCTGTCCTTTTCCTTCTCTTCTCTGCTTAAATGAATAAAGGATTGGAAGAAACACCAAGACAACCCGATCAGTTGGGCCAGCCAACCCATTTACTAAATGTCTAGGGGCCCAGCCTGAGCTCTACTTAGAACAAATGAGTCAGGCAAACATCTACCTGGCTTCCTACTCAAGGCCATAGTTACGACAAAAAATTACCTCTTTAGCTCTATAACCAACATAGGGCTACTAAGACAAAAAGAGCCTGGTCTGGTATGCCCAACTGCCAGGAACTCCCTATTCAGAATGATGCCAGGAATCTGCCCCCTCCAACACTAAGTATGCAGAAGTAGCAGAAAGTAGCTTCCTGGGTGACACTCAGAACCCTCTGAGGACTCCGCTCTAGGGCTGGCCTAGAAGATCACATCTCCTCTTTAACTGGGGCCACTGAGAACAACCCATAACCTCAACAGCTTCCTCTTCCCAGGATCCCAGACACAGGGAAGCCTGTGTCTTCTGGCATCGCTCAGGAGCCATTCCTGGCTGGGGAAACTGGCCAGGACATAGGTAAGGATGGGTCCCCTCTTTGTCCTTGAGTCTGGTCTGACAGGGAGCAGGGGAAAAAAGATCTCTCTCAGTTAGTGAAGTGAATATCCCCTCAAAAAAAGAGGGTCCATGGGGTTAAGAGGCCCCTCAGAACTCATCTCATCCTTGACCACTCTAATGCAGGTGTCTCGACCCTGACTTAACCACAATGGTCACAGAGCCTGGGCTCTCATACTCCCAGGAACAGGGCGTGTACTCTGCCACTGAAGTGAACCTAAACCTGCCTCTCTGACCCTGGTTCATCCCGAGGGGCCCCAGGAAATCCAGTCTGCATCACTCTTCCCCATGACAGGAAGGTAGCTTGCCCAGTCCCTGTTGCTATCCCACCTCCAATAGCTGCCTACCTCCAAGGTAGATGTGCCCTGTACTCCTTCAGATACTCTGTTTTCTCTTAAAGCACCTAATGAGATCCACAAGCCTTTTTTCATCTCCCCTCCCCCTACAGAGAATATGGGAGGGGGACCTTCTCCCCTTGTGAAAACCTCCAGGCCAGAGCAGGGTGGGAGACAAGCTGAGGCCAAGCACTGCCCTTCCTTATTCCCTTGGGCTAGAGTACAAGCAGCAGCATCTTAACCTTTTCTAGCTCCCAGAGGAGAACATCCTAGAAGTGTGGTCTCTGCCAAGGGTTTTAAAGTCTTTAATTTGATTTCCCTCACATAGGCAATTGTTGTAATTATTCTGATTAGGAATCATTACCCAGTGCAGCCTCTGCACCCCTGACAGGCACAATACATCCAACAGCAAGCTGCAGTGGGGCAAGCAGGCCCAGCCACAGCTCCTGGAGGAGCTCACAGCAAACAAAAGCCATCGATGGGGAGTTCTGGGTGAGTTAATGAAGTGCTCACATGCCACAAGAAGCCAACACTAAAGCTAAACAAAAACACCTCCAGTCCCAGGGGCCAGTCCCACAATGCCACAGCTCAGCTCCCCTACTCCCCAAGCCCCCCACAGGCTCCCTGAGCACTGGCGCCACAGGGCCATGGGCAAGAAAGGGGTGGGGGCCCCTGCGCCCGACTCCTGGCAGCAGTTGGACATCCTGTCAGTAACCCTGACGGGAACAGCTGGAGATGACAGATCAATGGTTCAATACTCTCAACAGCATGTCACTGATGTGACAGCAAATGTTATTCTAATCAAGCCATAATCATAGTCAAATTACATGGCTACATTCTCAGGAGGGGAGGGAGAGTAAAGCAGCAGGAAGGGGTCAAGGGTCAGGAATTAAAGGTCACTCAACCTACCTCCAGCACTTGCTGCAGGCTTGGCTGACCATCCACCATGGCTTGAATAATCCCAGTCAGCTGAAAGAAAAAAGAAACAGTCAATGGGTAGAAAACCAGGGCATAGTCACGCAAAGCTAAATTGGATGCTTTACTTTCTGTTTTTCTCCTTCTACTGTAAAGGGCTCTGATTTGGCACAGCTTTAGGCTCAGAACCTGACTAAAAGCCTAGTGTGTTTGCCTTAGGACACAGTAAGAGCTTCCCCCACAAAATCCTGCCCCGAAATAAAGGTAAACTTTACTTACTGGCCACAGAGTGTGTTCTCATACCAGTTTCAGCTTTCATTTTGCAAAAAAAAATTATTTTACCTGTCTTTTTTATTCAATAGGCACAACAATTTTCCACAAATTACAATCTAAATTCAACTCCTAGCTTCACAGAAGTTCCTATAAAACTTGGGGAATGCTCATACAGAACAGGCACCACTTGGTTCCAAGTCCACCCCTCCTCTGAGCTTCAATGTCCAGTGTGGCCCCTGCCACATCTCACCATCATCAGTGAACATCAGTGAAGACCTGCAGATGTCTGTCCCTCAAGCTGCAGACCTGGGTCCTCAATACCAACTAGCCCAGCCGGAAACAGAACCATCTTTAACCAACAGGGAAACTAAGAATATAAGGCCTAATGGACAGAATCTGGTTTGGAGAACTTCTGGCTTACAGGCTTATGGTCCTTCCAGGTCAGGCCTGGGTTCAAACAAGCTTGTTGTTTTGCTTTGTTTTGTTTTGGTTTTAAAATACCCCTGAAGCACAGACTAGGGATAGACTGCCTAAAAGGATCTCAGGGCATGAGCTTCCCTTGTCCTGGACACAAAATAGAAATCATTGTGTCCAACATGTCCCTGGCTACTTCCAGAAGGAGTAATATCTCATGCTTATGTGGAAATTTCCTATTTTTTTAAAGGGGGAAATTAAACTCCAATTAAACCATAATTACATTTAATGAATACCAAATACCCAACTCACAGAAACCGCTGGCTCTAGGAGGGAAGGTTATTTTCTCATAGCGACTTACATGGAATGGTAATACACACCTTTTAGGGAAGAAATTTTCATTTTAAGAACGCTGAGTTCCTCTAGGTGGGTTTCTGTAGTTCATCAAGTCATTATTAGGTGGTATTTTAAGGAAGTGTAAGGACACAGCCACTCTATTTTATATTCCAGAAACTGTTTTTATATTAATCTGTATTTTAATTGGGTAACAGCTGCTGCCTACAGACTTCCCATGGTCTAAAAGGAAAATAAATTAGAAAGATTAACTACACTGTTGTTTTGCAAGGCTTTAACCCACAGCATGCCCACCCGGCTGGCACCTCCACACCCTTTCCTTGCTTGGGAGACCAAAGAACTGCCCAGCAGAGGGAGGGCCTGAGTCAAGGAGAAAAGATGGTCCCCTACAGGCTGGGGGAATGGGGATGGAGATATGCTCTGGGTCAGCAGCTTCAATAATCCTGGAGTGCAAAGGACTCCTTTTGTTTAGTCAATAGCTATTCACAGACAGCTCACTAGGTGCTGGGGCCCACTGTAGGAACTGGGGATCCAGCAGGGAAGAAAAACCTAAAAAACTCTGCCCACATGGAATATGGGTCCTTGCCAGGCCCCCACCCATACTCAGCCCCCACCAGTGCCCAGAGCCTATCCACCTTCCAAAGCCACAAACTAAGTGGGCAGGTGCCCTATGTTTTTGTCTTAGACACACAAGTGCCAAAGAGAGTCAGGAGTAGATTTCTTCCCAACTCTGGGTCTAACATCCAGGTTACAGACTGACACCCAGGCACCCACCACTGAGCATTTTTGCCCAGCTACTCTCGCTAAGTCCAGGGCTGAGATATGTTCTCAACCTTACAGCTGGGGCTTAGGGTCAGGACTATCCTGGAAAAGAGGGCCCACAGTCAGCCTTGTGTCTGGTCTGAGTTTCCTGGGGCAAGGTTAGTTAGATCCACTTCTCTTGGCTACCACCAAGGGTCACTCAGATAAGCTAACACCAAAGAACTTCAAGAAAGTCTTAAAGAGCGGCGCCTGTGGCTCAGTGAGTAGGGCATCAGCCCCACATACCAAGGGTGTTGGGTTCAAATCCAGCCCACCAAAAAATAGCCAGGCATTGGGGTGGGTGTCTGTAGTCCCAGCTACTCAGAAGGCTGAGGCAAGAGAATGATCTAAGCCCAAGAGCTGGAGGTTGCTATGAGCTGAGACGCCACAGCACTCTACTGAGGGCGACAAAGTGAGACTCTGTCTCTAAAAATAAATAGATAGATAGATAGATAGATAAACAAAAAGTCTCAAAGGGGTTTGGTGCCCATAGCTCAGTGGTTAGGGCGCCGGCCACATAAATTGGAGCTGGTGGGTTTGAACCTGGCCCAGGCCTGCTAAACAACAACAACAACAAAAATATCTGAGCATTGTGATGGGCGCCTATAGTCCCAGCTACTTGGGAGGCTGAGGCAAGACAACCGCTTAAGCCCAAGAGTTAGAGGTTGCTGTGAGCTGTGACGCCACCGTACTCTACTGAAGGTGACATAGGGCAACATAAGACTCTGTCTCAAAAAAAAAAGAAAGTCTCAAAGAGAAAATCAATGCACCTGTGCAAAGAACCCTTTCTCCCTGAAGATGGGGCTTTAGTCAATACCTGTGTACCCAACATGTACCTGCACTGGGCCCCAGAAAAACCACTGTTAGGCAAGAAAATCACTATGCCATAAAGGAAAACCAGGATGCTGCTCTGACATCCTGCTGTGGGATCCCTCACTATAGACTGGTTGCCTCTTCCTACCCAAGGGCTGTAGCACTAGCATCCTCAGGCTTTCACAAACTGCACCCTAGTGCTCAGCAATCCTAGAATCTTCACCCTGGGTGGAGCCTAATGAGTTTTCTGCTTCCCAGAAAACAGGTATTTTTATTTGTGCTCTAGCAAGACTCACAGCTGAGCCTGAAGAATCTGAACTCAACCCCCAGAGATACAGAGGTTTGTGATGTTGGCTCAACTAGTCACAGCCTTCTAGGGGAAGGCCTCAGGCCCCTGTGTTAATCTCTCCAAGGTTAATCTCTCTACCTCTGCCAAAGCACTGGATAAAGAGGGGAAATTAAGAAAGTTAGTCCCTGCACCTGATACTAAGAACCTATAAATTAACTGTAAGACTTATATAAGAAGCCATGAGGGAGATAGATAATTTTACAAAATACTGGGAAGTTCTATCTTATGCCTAACTTAAATCTGTCATGCTATAGTTTAAGTTCATTCCCACTTGGGTTAATATATATTTGTAAAAAGGTTTCACATCCTCACAATGAAAAGTACTATAGCAAAGCCAAGTATTATTAAGCTGAGAACCAGGGCTCACAGGATAAACAGAGCTCAGAGACCTTAACCACTTAAAGCAGGAGAGGTGAGAGGAAGAATTAATGTGTGCTCTGTGGCTCCTTTCACTGAGGGATTACAGATTAACTCCCACTTCTCCAGACTCAGAAACCACAAGGCAAGGGGCTTTTGACCCTGACCAATAATATGGCTGGCTACTGAGATTCCCCTACCCACGCAAGGGCTTTGTCCAGGAACAAGGTGGCTTCGTTATAAACACTAGCAACTACAGGCAGCAGCCCAGGAAACTCAGTGCCAATAGCATGTCAGCATCCAGCGCTTTCTCCTTTTAGAGTTTATCTCCAACACAATCGTATTCTGACACCAAGACAGTTTGTTGATTACATAAGCACTTGTCTCTAGTGTGCAATCTGATAATCAGACCCACCCTTTCTCCTCAGACAAAGAGACCAATAAATCTCACCCTTTATAAGTAGTACAGATGCAAGACAAAACCCTTTACTGGCACTTAGCAAAATGGGTATTTTTCTAGTTTTTCATGACAACAACGAAAAGAAAACTGCACATGGTCAGGACTATGCAGCAGCCTAGCTGCTAGAGACAGAGTGCTGATGAGTTAGAGCAGATTCTAGAGGTCAACAACGAAAGGACTGGGAAGAATGAAACATATCTCATCATGTATGTTAGAATCAGGTCTCCAGGCAGACTATCAACTGGGACTAAGACAGGACCTGAGGAAGGCTAATAACATGTTTCTTAGAGCAGTGTCTGCATGTGTGCTACAGACTCAAGGCAGAATCTTACTTCCTATGGTCCAGCATTAAGCCTGCCTCTCTCCTCACACAAGCATGTGCTCATGTGTATACAATTGTATGTGCATGTGTACATACACAATAGAATATTTCCTCTTGTGCACAAAGAGGAAATACTGACAGGGTTGCTACATAGGTACAATCTTAAGGTTTGGGATTTGCTATAGTTCAGACTTTGCTTGACCTTTCCAAATCTCACACTGAAATTTCATTTCTAGCCAGGATTCGTGGCTCATGCCTATAATCCTAGCACTCTGGGAGGCCAAGGAGGGAGGATCCCTTGAGCTCAGGAGTCTAGCCTGAACACGAGGGAGACCCCTGTCTCTACTAAAAATAGAAAAATTAGCTGGGCATTGTGGCGGGTACCTCTAGTCCCAGTTACTTGGGAGGCTAAGGCAGGAGGATCACTTGAGCCCAGGAGTTTGAGGTTGCTGTGAGCTATAACACCATAGCACTCTCACCCAGGACAACAAAGTAAGATTCTGTCTCAAAAAATTATTTAAAAAAAGGAATTTTATTTCCAGTGTTGGAGGTGGGCTGTAATGTAAGGTGTCTAGGTAATGGGCGTAGATCCCCCATGAATAGATTAATGCCTTCCCTCTCACGCTCTATTAGTTCTCAAGAGAGTTGCTTTTTAGAAAGATCTCTCCCCTCATTCTCTTGTTGTCTCTCTTATCATGAGATCTCTGCACACACCCCCACTTCCCCTTCCACCAAGGCTCTCAACAACTATCTGTGCCATGCTTCTTGTACAACCTACAGAACAATGTACCAAATATACCTCTTTTCTGTAATAATTCAGGTATTCATTCATAGCAACACAGACTATGACAGGGCGTTTCTTGTACTTACTAATGAAAGAGTCTCAGGTTGGAATGACTTCCATCCCTACCTCTAAAGGCAGCTACTGCCAGGGTGGATGAGGTCTAAGTAAGGACAGCCCCCATCCTGTGTCCACACTTCTCTCTGCAATACAATTCCACATGGCATGGAGAGACAGCAATATTTAGATGATCTCAGGTTTCCAAAACAAAACTTTACTTATTCAAAAGAGCAAATCCACACTACAGTTGCTTTCGGAGAAGACAGACAATCACTTCTTGACAATACTCAATCATTTAAGAAATACATGTCAAGTGTTTATTTGGTATCAGACTCTAATGATGGGACAGAGATGGATCAGCTCTAGGATCTGGTCTCAAGGAATTCGTAGTCCAGGGAGGGGACAGATAAACAATTACAGTGTAATTTATCTGACCAGTGCTACGATGGGGTAAGTAAGCACAAGCTAGCCTGGGGATCAGGGAAGTCTTTCCAGGGAAGGTGACCCTGAGTCTTAAAGGATAGCCCAAGTTAGGGGTGGAGACTGGAAGAAGCACACAAGCAGGGGAATCATCATGCAAAAAGATACACTGTATAAAAGGCTCTGGGTGAGAGATGAAGCAGGGAGATGTGAGGCTGGACAAAAGAGGAAGGACAACAAAAAACAGGTCCCAGAGAGTTTTGAGAAGCCTGAGACAAAATGCTGCCCTGTACCTGCAGCACAACCACATTTTCAATTCATAATAGGCTTTGTAACAAGGTCCCAACCACCACTCCTAATGCTCTCAAAAAGAATTAGCAGCAGTCCTGCTCTGAGAAAACTCCCTCTTTTTCCAATATACTCACACCCTGGGTTCAGCTCCAGCAGCATCTTGTTCTATTCCTAAATAGGCAGCAACCTTTCTAAACTTTGGGCCTACCTGTCTAATGCCAGATAGCCTAGCCTCACAGAGGGGTAAGTCACATACAGAAAGCAAGAAGAAAAGGACAAGAGGATACTAGACTTTCAAGCCACTAGAGGACTCAGGTAACTGGCTGGTTTAAAAGAAGTCTTTCCTTCCCTTTCCATAAGGAAGAGGATTTTCATCATCATTAAAATGGTGATTTTTCTCCAGGCACGGTGGCTCACGCCTGTGATCCCAGCACTCTGGGAGGCCAAAGTGGGTCAGTCACTTGAGCTCATGAGTTTTGAGACCAGCCTGAATAAGAGAGAGACCCCCATCTCTAATAAACTAGACACGCATTATGACAGGCACCTGTAGTCCCAACTAATCACTTGAGCTCCAGAGTTTGAGGTTGCTGTGAGCTGTAATGCCACAGCACTCTACCAGGGGCAACAAAGTGAGACTTTGTCTCAAAAAGAAAGAAATAAAATAAAATAAAATGGTGATTTTTCAAAAAGGGCAAAAAAGACAGATTAGTGCTCCCTGGTGATAAAGGTAATTCCGAAGGAGGAAGGGGAGGAATAAAACCAATGGACAAGGGTGGGAACCAGAACCTCAACATCATTAGTTGGAATAACAAAAGGCTTAAGAGACCAGTTGCCTCAGCAGATAGGTACCTCAACAAATGGATGCCTTGGCTCGGCGCCTATAGCTCAACCGGCTAAGGCGCCAGCCACGTACACCTAAGGTGGCGGGTTCGAATCCCCAGCCCGGACCCGCCAAACAACAATGACGGCTGCAACCAAAAAATAGCCAGGTGTTGTGGCGGGCGCCTGTGGTCCCAGCTACTTGGGAGGCGGAGGCAGGAGACTCACTTGAGCCCAGGAGTTGGAGGTTGCTGTGAGCTGTAATGCCACGGCACTCTACCCAGGGGGACAGCTTGAGGCTCTGTCTCAAAAAAAAAAAAAAAAAAAACAAAAACAAATGGATGCCTTCAAAAAAGACCCACCTGGGTCAGGTGGCAAACACTGGCATCAAGACCAGGAGCAACCCTCAATATTGCCTCCAGATAGCCTTATATCTAGGCTACTTACACCTCCACACACAATGAGCTCTCCCACCAGGGTCAGGTAAGCTCATTCCAACCTCTTCCATGCCAAGGAGATTGGGATTACTCAAGAAGTTCTTTCCACCTATTTCATTCATATGTAGAAGGTAGGGCTCTAAATGAAGGCACAAAGTCTATAATGTACCTCAGTCCCAAACTCTGAAGAGTCCAGAAATTTGCATGTTTTCTCATCCTTCTGCTCCCAAGCATTCTTGACCACAGAGTCTTGGGAGTCAGGACTCTCAGGGCTTCCTCCCCTCTGCCAATGGCTCTTCTGAGCCTCCAGCAAGCATCAAATCGCAATTAATCCCAGTTTCACAATCTGTAAAATGGGTCAACAACACTAACCTGCTGACAAGGTGGCTAAGTACAGTCAGCCTAGGATAAGGACATTTCAGCCTTAGCCAGTCCTCATGCTCCACTGAGTGCCCTTCTCTTACCTTGGTAACAATGTGTTTCCTACAAACTCGACCTATGCTTTGCGTAGGGCCCACTTTATGGAAGGACAGAGTAACAATGCCAAAAAGCTAAGAAGGTTCAAATGTTAACTTTTCCTTCCAGGTGTCTGAATCTTTACCTCTTGCCCAAGACCCCAGAGGGAAATGGAACTGGAAAGAGCCTGAGCCCCAAAAGCATCATCTTGCTCCTGGATTCCAGGTGTCCAATCACCAGGATGGCCGGGGATGATAGGAAGGGAAAAGTTAGAGAAACAGGCATAAATTGTGCCACTGCTCTCCCGGGTCTCCAGGGGCCCAAGTGGAGGGCAGGCTTTATAAAAAGCCACTGCTAGGTCCAATGTGCCTTGACCACTGGTGAAACTTAAGCTTTCCCTAAGTGGCCTATATAGAGCACCAATGATCCCCACTGCCCTTGCTGCCCAGCTCCAGGGCCCTTACCTCTGTACAAAAAGGGGTAAGTTGTGGATGGACTACAGGCTGGACATACATGTGAAAGGTAGACTCGATCTCCATGGTCCGTCCATTTAGCTTCAGGATGGGGAACTCGATGATTTCCTAGAGTGCCAAAGGCACAGAAAAGGAAAAATAAGTTATTTTAACCAACCACTTCAAACAACAACTCCAAGTCAAGAAAGAAAGAGTATTTGGGGCTCATTAGCCGCTGCCTGGCCAAACCCAAGATTGAGTGAGATGGTGCCAGCACAGTTGTAATCCCAACCCTCCCACTGTTACCACCTTCACAGGTCCCAGGGACAAGACATAACCTCATCCCTGGTGTTTCTGGAAAAGAGAAGGAAGATAGCGGTATAATCTGCTCTGGTTTCACCAACAGGTTCTCCAGCAGAGGCCTGCTTACTTGCCCCCCTCAAAGTAGGCCTCCTTCTCCTTGCCCAGGTCTCTGTCCTGAGTAGGTCTTGACCTAAAGCCATACAGACAACTAGCCATCAGACCAATGCACAGATTTCCTCATATGCAGTTTAAATAGAGCTGATGAATTTCTTCATTAGCTTTTTTAAAAGATACATAATAAATAAAGCCAAAGGGGATCCCAAAGAGGAGAAAACTGAATAAGAGTAATAGGAGCTAGTGCCTCCTACCTTTCTTTCAGGCTGTATACCCACCCCCATCCCCCATCTCCAACCCCCAGCCCAATCGCTTAGCCAGCCCTTCCCAGTCCACTGAAACATAATGGAAGAGAAGGAGGAGGAGTGACAATTTGTTTGGTGTCTCTAAGATTAATTTGTCTCCGTTATTTAATAGAGATGCACAGCACCAAGGTCCTGGTGTGCAAACAGGCTTGCAGAACGCTGGCTGTGCAGCACGCCTCATACATCGCTCCTGGGAAGGGAGGAAGGCACCAGAGGGGGGAGAGGGCAGGAAAGAGCCTGCATGCACCAGAGAGAAGAGGGAAAGCAAAGAGAGAGAATAAAAAAAATTATTGCTTTTTAATATTCAAAAACAGTTTGCAAAATTTAATCAAAGCAGAGGAAAAGCTAACATTTTTACCACTTTGACATTTTTATTAGCGCTTTCATAAATTTTTAAAACATGAATGGAATTAGTTTACAACACAAAAAAAAACTGCCCTGAAAACATCTGGAAGAGACAAATAGGAAATAATAAAAAAAAAAAAAAAAAAGAAGCAGCAAAATTCTCCGTGTAAAATTAGCATGTGGAAAGGGCCTCCTCTGCTGCAAAGAAAAAAAGGGGACTCTGCCCATTCAGTGGCCCCATGGTCTACTTCAGTGGCACTCCAACCACTCATCCCCTGTTGTAGAAAGGACCTTTCCAGTATCACCAACATTGAAGCAAATTGGTTCTCTCCAGAGACTGCCTGGAGAAGCCACACAGAAGCTGACGACACCTGACTGCACGAACAGAAAACGAATGGGTGGGAAAATAGAGAAATAGTCGATCTCCTCAATGTCCCAGGGAAGCCAGGGATCCTCCCCTAAAAACATACCCACTAATATTAAATATTAGGCTTGTTTTTAAAGCATCTATTTCAATCTAACACATAAAAGCAGTACTGAAAATCAAATCAAGTCAGTCAGATTTCAAGCCAGAGAAATTCAAAGGTTCTGGTTGTCTGGTCTCCATGGGCTGACCCCCAAAGATGAGGAAGCTGAAGGAGCTCATTCCCAAGGATATAAAGGGCACAATGGCTGCAAGGCTAAGGTAGCAGGAGACAGAGAAGAAGGCCAGGCTGCTACTTAGACGAGATGACACATCTCCTCCCAATTCCTTGGACCTTTTGTTCCCCACAAATTATTACAAAGCAGATCAAGTAAAGGGGAGTTTTGCCCTAAATATCAAAATTGAACACATGTACACACAAAAATATACACTGGTTCCCTGAAAAATCAGATATGCAAGATAATCAAGAGCCAATTCTGAGGTATAGCTCATCTGAATCTGGCTCATCTGACTCCTGAATTTCTGATATATATTCTTTGTCTCCCACTAAGCAGAAAGTAAGAGCTCCGTAGCCCAATGAGTTTGGCTGCCCTGGTGTCTACGGAAACAAATACAGCCAGCTTCTCACTAACAATGTTAGCTCGGCCTACAATGAAATTTAACCTGTGACACAACTGTACTTTTCATTTAAACTTTCATTTGGAGAGAAGCAGTGTTTGGAGACCTGCAGTTTGTCCTGCTAATAAAGACAAGTGTTGGGACCTTTAAGGATGCCATTCATCTTTGGTTTTTATTAAATTCAATTTTCTTAAGCCCATGATACATTATGAAATTAGGAGTTGACATTCCTCTAGAAACAAAAATATCTATCAAACGTAAATAGAAAAAAAAAAACCTCTATTACCAAGAATTTATGGCTTAAAGTTGATCTCTTTCCACTTTTTTACAAGCACATGGTTTGTTTTAGATATCTGAAATGCTATTATAGATCTAGAATTTCATTAGTATTTATTATAAAATAGTATATGCTTCAGCTCCTGCTCGGGCCAGCACCAACACAGCATCCCCCAGAAGTCTCTGAAAACTTGGCCTTTGAGTTTCCCCACTACAGCTCAGTATTGACATTTTCCTGCTACTGGCTTCCTTACCTATAGGGAAATAGAGCCAACCTAAGTGCTCAAAGTAAGTGCCACCTGCACCTGTTCCATCAGTGGAAGACCAGGCCAGCCTTAGCTCAATGCAAAAAAAAGGGGGGAGGGGGGAGGCCCCCGAAATGCCTGGGTACACATCAGATTGGGCCTATCATAAACATACTTCTCTCATGTTGCTAGCCCGTCTGTCAGACCTTCTCCCCATGACCAAGAAGAGGAACTTTCAAGGGCCAATCTCAAAATGTGATTTTGCAGGGGCCCTTCCTCAGCAGTATCAGAAGCTGTTATAACAACAAGAGGCCTGTACACGGGCAGATTCATGTAAGCCACTGAGGATGCAAAAGAGGAGCTTCTGACAGAAGACCCTCCGAGAAGTCAGAGCAAAGAGGACCTCACCTATGTATTGCTCACCATCCCATAGTGCCCAGCAAGCCAAGAACCTCAAAGTTACTGGCACCAACAGCCTCATCACGGGAAAGGAGCCCCAATCTGGACCAAGTTGGTACAACTCTGCAGCCAGAAGACCTGGGGCATGCCAAACACTTTGAAAGTTCTTAGCTAATAATGATCAGAGACATAAACCCCTCACTACAAGTTGATAGCATTAACTCCAATCCAAGGATGTGTGAAGATGTACCCAAGGCACACCTAGGTCCAGTTGCTCAGATAATGAAACTATGATTCCTGCCCCTCTCCTTCCCCCTCATCCAATTTCATCAACCCTAGGAAGAGGGTTTTCAGTTTAATGTAAAGCTAGAGCCAGGAAGGAAGGAAGAGCCAGTTTGTATTTCTAGCCCTTTCCCTCCCCTAATCATAGCTTCATGATTCCCTTTCCTTGGGATGCCATATGCAATCATTTAAACTACCTGAGTGCCTACTTTGTGTAAGATAACATACAAGTGTTGGGGGAGATTTAGCAAGAAGATGTAGTCTCTGCTTTGGAGATGTGCAGGGACTAAAGGAATGGAAAAGATAGGTGAATAAATAATGAACAGTACGCTATGATACATGCTTTAGTGGAGGGACATAAAAAGTATGCTTTCACACATAATTTCTTATTTTACCCTTATTAGCCCTAGGAAATATGTTGTATCATCATCACCATTACTATCATGAGGTCATAAACCAATACTATTAAGCATATACTATTTACCTGGCACGGGCAGTGAACACACAGATGAATACAGTGAGATGTAGCTCCTCTTTCTGAGATGCTCAAGTCTGGGCAAAGTGTGGAAAGGAAGTGGACTCCAGCACTCTCCAAGACACATGAAGAATGGAATCATTTTATTCCTTCCATTTATTGTTTACTAAGCAGCAGACACTGTGGTAAGTGCTCTAGGAATGATCTCATTTAATCCTCCTAACAACTCGAGAGGTGGGAATCATCATTATCACTATTTCACAAATAAACTAACACCCAAAGAAATCACTTGCTCACAATTATACTGCTAATAAGGGACAGAGCTAGGATTCCAAATGGAAAAAAGGAGACTTAAGGACAGTATAATGGGAAAACTAGTAGCTCTCAAAATCTGATGGGTTAACAAAGATCGGATTCTCTTAGTATAAAAGCGAAAGACTACCTGTAGGGCACTCAGTCTACCATCTCCTAGAAGGAGAGGAGGCTCTCGTAACAGCAATGAATGTGGACTATTTAGGACTGACAGAAAAGTCCTAAAGGACTGCTGCTGACAGTCCTCTACCACACCAACAGCAACACAGATGGCACTGGGCTATGAGCTCAGGGAGCGCAGGACTGCACACCTTCAGTTTGCATCTCCGGAACCTAGCTCTGATTCCAGCACACAGTTCTCTCTCAACTTTTGTTCAGCAAACACATAAAAGGGCCAGTAACTGGCAGATACAAACCAAGGGCCTGGCTGTAACAGGAGACACTACTGTCACAAAACTCTCCACAGGATCAGAGAAGAGAAATGATCTGCTTAAGATGACAAAGATGGTAGGTAGTAGTGTGAGGATTCAAACCCAGACGTATCACTGCAAAACACCTTCTACTAGGTCCACTCTCTCATCTCTAAGTGGTTTCCTCCCCCAACTGCTACAAACCACCAAATCTGTTTTACCTTGGGCACATGCAGCCAAAGCTCAAGGTAGGGAAAAGTCACGAGATTTCCTACAGATCACAAGACAGTTGGGTAGTCAACTGTCCCATTTGCTGAGGATCAAAGGTTTCCCAGAGCACAGGACTTTCGATGCTAAAACTGAGACAGCTGGTCATCCTATAACACACAAATTACCTGCACCTTTGGGTTGTCTAAAGGCAAAGCAGTATTTATCCAAAAAGCTGGTCTGCTGATGATAGGTGGGAACTGGCCACAACTTGACAACTAAAGACAAATACCTCAGAATTTGGATTTTTCTAAGTATCCAAAGTATTATACCTTCTCTTTCTCTGCAAATTTTTTCGTTGTTGTTGAGGGGACAAAAGACAGAGAAATAAAAAAGAAGCACCAAGAAAATATT